GCAGCCCCCCTACTCCTATCACATCTCCTCAGGCCCCCAATCACATCACCACAGCCCCCCTAATCACATCACCACAGTCCCCACCTTCCTGCTACATTTCCTCAACCCTATTGTAAGTGCGCCATAATGTACAGGCATGCTGTGCATACTGTACTTACACATTATGACATGTGCCCACCCACCACAATGCGGACTTTAGTTCAGCTTTAAATATAATACAATCAATACATCAATACATGTATTGTTAGATTCAGCTCATTTAAGTAGCTGAATGTGTATTTATATCAGCCACCTGTAAATCTCTGTTTACTAGCGCTCAGATGGGGAGAGGGAGGGAATAGTACTCAGAGCCATTTAGTCTATGCTACATACAGCGTGTGGAGCCGTGAACATGGCCAACTAATCGAAAGCCGATAATCGATGTTTGAAAACGTTTTCAATCATCGATTAGTCAATTAATTGTTGCAGCCCTACTGGGAACATAAAATAAAACATTTAAAAAAAAAAAACTCACTTGATTCCTGGATCCACCGACAAATGCAGCCTCCCGTCTCCCGCGCTGTCAGAAGCTGCAACAGAGCATGCTGGTTACTACTTAAACTGTGGGACGGTCAGTGACGGCCCCCTGATGGCTGCGGGCCCTCGGTCCGTGCCCGAATGGTCAGTCCGCCCCTGAGCCGAACAACGTCCAGCTATTCACTCCGGCTGATTTCAGCCGTACATCAGCTATTCGGCTATTCACTTCGGCTCTGTGCGGCCATCGGCTAAAATCAGCTGTAAATCAGCTGGCTGTGGCTGGCTTCGGTGCAGAAGCTGTTTGACTTAGCCAATTCAACATCTGTATCGGCTGAGCCGAAGCTCCGGCAGTTTACTTGCTGTCGTTCGCCCATATTCTCATAGGGGCTGAACGGCAATGAGAGAATAGCCGAATGCCGCTCAGCTATTCTGCTCGCTACCTCAGAGGTAGCAAGCAGAATATAAAAAAATGTGAAAACAATGTAAAAAAAAAAAAAAAGTTAAAAAAGTCATAAAAAAAATGTAAAAGAAAGAAAAAAAACAGTGTGGGGTCCTCCTTCAAAACCATACCAGACCCTTTAGG